CCATCCCGCCACAGGGGAGGGAGAGGCGAACAGAGAAATGAGTGAGCATCACATGGTTTAGAGTGTTTCAGTGAGAACACTAAACTGGGAAATGCTATTCCTAGACCACAACACCAATAATGGTTTAAAGACACAGCATTGTCGGAATCTGTGGGTATTGATGATTCTGAGATTCTAGAAAGTCTCTGTCTTTCTGCCCCGTTGCCAAAGAAGAAGCCATAATTCGTCTGTGCTGTTTTCAAGGTTGTTTATTCTTGCTTATCTATAACATGTTCTGCTGCCCTGCCGCAGGTCTGGCCTGCAGGGCAGCGCGTGGGGCTCTGCCCCTCAGTGGGATGTTACAAACATTATATACCAGAAACTACGTGTGCTATATTTACAATAATGTGCCAATATCTATCACCTACGTTAAACAGTGTGTCCCCAGCCTAAACCAATAGAAAAATGCCAACACTACAGTGAAACATGGAGGGCATGAAGAAGGAGGAAAAGGACAAGACACACCCAATTTCCTCCATCTTGTCCCCTCTGAACCCCTAATCTAGAAACCTAAAATTTTACTTTTGCACCCGTGCCACACTTAATTATTACTTATATCAAACACTCAGCTTGTAATTCATCCTGTAAGATTGAAAACTCCTCTCCATGGACAGAGATCACAGACAGTGTCTCTCGGGGCTCTGTACAGGGGGGTTCCTGACCTCTGCCAGGGTCCCAGACCTGCCAGGGCAGCCAGAGGGAAGCTCTGGATTCCCACACAGCATCTTTACACTGACAAGACAAGTTGGTCCACAGAAAGCAAAGGTGTAATCTTGGGAAAAAGTTTGAAGAATTATTTCTTAAACATATTGAAACTGTTTTGCTTATATACTGGTGTATTCCACTGCTCTTATAAAATAACTTATTTCATCAGTCCAACATAAATTAATTTATTTTTACATAATTCTAATTTAGTAATGTGTTAAGGTCACAGTAAACTTCTTAAATTATTTTAAAAACATGATGACTTCACTAAGGATATTAAAATTGTAGTTCAAACTGCCTAACTTCAAAAACATCTCATTAAAAGTTCCTTACTGTTTTTGACCAAAGCGTTCTCATGATCCTCTATAGTCACATAAATCAAACACAATAACTTTTAGAAGGTTTTACTGTCTTTTTCCCATCTAACAAATGCAAATACCTTTTGCTAGGTCAAGACAATCCCTCACTATCCCACAGTAGCCAACAAAGTGTCTAGCACAGGCAGGCTCCTTAAAAGCCCAGCTCATTTTCAGCTACATGGCGACCACTGTTAAAACCTGGTGTGTAGTACAAATAGGTGTGGATGGTGACCAAGCAGAAACAAGAAAAAATGAATTAACCTTAGCTACAGATGGACACACACACACACACACACACACACACACACACACACACACACGCACATGCATCCCCAAACAAGCAGATAAGCCTATATGCAAGAAGATACTTGATGTCAAATCAAGAAAGACAAGGATAACAGAAAGACAAGGAACTACTAGAGAGGGTCCAGCAGAGGGCTATAAAGGTGACAAGGGAAATGGAGCATTATTCAAGAGTGATACTGTCCTCTTATGAGGATAGGCTGAGAGAGTTGGGCCTGGTTAGCTTGAAGAAGAGACAGCTGAGAGAGGATCTCATTAAGGTTCACGCAAATAAGCATCACCATAGAATCAGTCTGAAATATTATGTAGGGTTCCACAGTATATTAAGGCACTATTTTTAAAACATGGGTTTCTGTTACTATATAGTAAACCCTAGCTGAATCTCAGGGATGGAAATAAGCCCACGTGTGCTGCAGAAGTCTTCCTACATAGCTACATCACTGTAGGCAAACGTGTGGGGTAAGTAAATCATGAGCCCTATATTACACACCATGCTGACACAATGCTCTCTAAGAGCAGGGGGTGTGAGCTATTTAGGTCCAACTCACCCCACTCTGAGAGGTACTGTCCTTCCCGCCAAGACATACTGTCTTACTCCAACAGTGAGCACCGTGCCTGCATCAGAAGCCTCTGCCGACACAACTGGTCTGGTGCCAAGATATCTCTGGTTCTGGGCACCACAGCACCCCCGCTCTGATCCTTACATCCCAGCTCTGCGCTTCCCAGAATGCTTGGGTTCTGCTCTTCCCAAGGCTTTGTGTCGGCTCCATCATCAGGTATTGCAGTGGGTTCCTCCTCTACCATGCCATTAACAGTATTTTGCCTCACAGAAGAGCTATGACATGTCCCAGCAGCATAGAGGGATTTAATAATAAAACCAGCAAATGAAACTGCCTTTCTAAATTCCAATGGGTATAGCAACAATCATTTAAAAATCTCTCCCATTTAGGAATGTCTCTTTAGCTGCTGTCAAAGTATATATTCAACTTTTTAAATTTCTGATTACCTGATAGGATATACTATGGCTACTACATTTCAGAGAAACAAATTTTTTTTGTGGTAAATGTTCTTACCATGAAGTTCTTGGGTACATCTTTTTTTTTCCTGAATGCAAGAATTCACATGAATCTGCTTTGTAAAAAAAAAGGGGGAAAAAAAGCAGAGCCAAAACCAAAACTGAAAAAGTACCTCTCAGGAAGATACTCAGATGAAGAGAAAGAATTTTTTTACCCACAGACCACTATGGACCATTAAGGATGTGCCAAACTGATACTCACTTATCTAGGTTAATGGCGATAATGAACCATCTGTCACTATGAAACTGCTTAAAATCTATTCTGTCTGTTGAATGTAAGGAAATGTACCTGTAAAACCACTCTGAACATGTGCCTGAGCTTCATTAGAGAATATGAATGGCCAGAATAGAAGCTTTTTCCTTCTTGCAATTATCTATTTCCTTTCAAGCTTTTCAGTTTAAAAACAAATGACTGTTTATCAAACTTATTTTCATTTTATTGTGTTTTTCATATGAACACATTCTAAAGAGCTACAGCCATGGAAAATTTAGGTACATCAACAAGTTGCTGGATGTTGCAATTTTAAGTGGGCTGGGCCACTGTTTATCTTTTTTTAATGGATAACAATGAATTTTTGCCTTGCTAACACTCAATGTTGTAATATGTTCTACTTTGCTGTGAGTCACAGTCTGAAAATACCAGTCTATTGGTCTTACTTTAAGCAATTGACTCCAAAAAGTAGAAGCTACACAATTTTGAGAAGGCAGAGCATCTTGCCAGTACCTTCTATGGACAGAGTGGCCTGTTACTAAGGCCAGATTCCTTCCAATAACTGACCCATTTTATTTAAAGCTAACTTCAGATACCTCTACCCTATGCTGAAATCTCCAGGGCATGTATGTATGCAGGAGAATAGACATCCAAGTCTAGCATTTACACTCTAGTGAAGCCTTCAAAATTTTGTCTCATTTCCCCCGTTCATTGAGTAAATGTATATCTTTACAGTATATTAATTTCTACTGTTGCATCTCACCTAAATTCACATATCATTGGACCCAAACATAGCTATTTCAATGATAAATAAAAGTATCAATGGTATAATGGTAAAATAAAAATATCAATGGTATATATCTGCTCTCCTTGTCTCCAATGAGAAAGATGAAGGGAGGAACGAGGTTTGACATAAGCCTGGATGAGGTGAAGAGTCCAGCCAGCCACATTCAGTTCCATGAATCTGGAATCTGTAGGGACAACGGTCTCCCAGAGTATACACCTGAAAAACTCAAGGAAGGACAGCCAGTGAGCTAGGACTCAAGACCCAGATGAGCATGGTTCCAGCAGCACCAAGAGCAGTTTGATGCTCAGCCCTGACAGGTGATGGTGTCATTCTTCAGAATAAAGATCTGCTGAGGTCTAAGCAGCTGAAGGAGAAAGAAACAGAACAGTCAAGTTAAATTTCTGTGACATTCTGCAGTAGAAGTGCGATGTCCCAGGCAATGTAAAGAAACTGCATTCAAGTTATAATTTGAAAAATAAAGAATGCCCAGAATAAAACAAATAAATAAATTCTAAACTTTGTGTCAGAAGTATGTGTTTGAGAATTGTGATTTACAAGTGGTCAGTCAGCTGCCCTGGCCCAACCATTTTATTCTGGAAGACTCAACTGCAAATACAAGTAATACAGTAATAAGGACTTTTAAAGTTATCTCAAAGTATCTACACTTTATCCTTTTAGATTTTTAATGGATTTCACATGATACATATAATTTTTGAGAACTGAAGTGCTACTTCTAATATTTCCAGTTAAATAAACTCTTTAAAATAAAAGGAATGATAAAATAAAAATCTAAAATTATATTTACCATTCTGCATGCTATTAGGGCATTCAATTGATTTCTGAAGTTTCCATGAGTGATCTACAGTGATACCATTCAGTACAACAGTAACAGATGCCAAAAAAGTAATTTTAAACAAATAAACTTTATCACATTATCTGTTTTTTCTCTATTACAGCCACCTTTCCAAGTACCTTTGTGCAATTATCTAAATGAAGGTATATCAAAAAGTACTTTGTTCAAAGATGTCTTTCTATTTTTTATTACCAGATCACTGGAGTAACAGCTTTGTTTACTCTCCTTTCTACAGGAGGATTTTATCACTGCTTGAAGACATGAAGAAGATAGTGTAAGAAGTGTACATCAATCCTATGTTTTAAACTCCAGTTTTACTACAAGAATAAAATATACAGAACAACTAGAAGGGACCTCCAGATGACACCTAATACATCCTCCTTCCTGCAGGAAGCAGTTTTTCAAGTACTCTGATCTTACAGATCTCCAATTGAGATGGAAACTCCAAAGGCTTGCCAAGCAATCTATTCCCTATCCTCACCATTAAAGTTTTCTGTAATTTTAAAATAAATCTTCCCTGCTGTAGTTTAGCCTATTACTTCTTGTTCTATCAAACAGGCAAAGGAAATAGATTATTCTTTTCCTCCTTGGAGGAACCTCTTGTATTATAGTGTCTTCATTCTATCTTTTCTGTAAGATGAAATGAACATAATTTTTTTTTTCCTTTTAGGTTATAATTTCTACACTTCTGTCTTTTTTGTCACTCTCCTTTGGACTGTTTCCAGTTGATTGTCTTATTTCCTCAAGTCTGGTCTCTAAAACATGGTGTTATAATTCAGTATGAAATTAAGATTTGTTAGTCCAAGATTTCATCTAATTATTCAAATAATAAAGTTAATACTCTGCCAGGAGAAGGATACCAAAGCTCTCATTCTAGTAATTGTCCTGCTGGAAACCAAAGTCAAAAGTTAGATTAATTAAAGCATAGTTCATTGAAAATCAATCTAAGGAAGCTTATTTTCCTTTTGGATTTGTGTCTTAAGCCTGCCTGACCAAACATCTAAGAAAACACAAACTCTGATGCAAGTTTGTTTGCATCACATTATTTCTATGAGCTTTCTGGTGTCCACTAAGAGCGAAACTCCTATGAAGTCTTTCCCTCAGTGCTGTTTATCTGCCTGTAAGAGCATATTTCCAGATTCATGAAAACACAATCAGGGAAGCTGCCCAGGTATGAGCCTCTGGGATGACAGCTGGAGTAGATGGGGGAAGAAGGAGGAGGAGGTGACAGCAACTAGACCATAGGTTTTAATAGCTGATTCAGGATTAGGCTATAATTTTACAACTAGTTCTGTTGACTCTGACAAAATAGCTCCTACCATAAGCCCACCTCACCAGCTATTCTGAAAAACAGCATGATTTCCTAAGCCCTACTTCTCAAAGAGACTACATGGTTTCCTTGCAACAGTTGTGAGCTATATAAACAATACCTTATTACACCCTATCTTGGTGTATAGATTTTAGATCTCCTGTTGTATTAAAGGTTTTTAAAGTTTTAAATGAGACATGCATGTGAGAACATCTATTCCCTTTCCTTCTCCTTATCTGTCCTCCCTCATTTAATTGCTCTACTCTTCTCCCAAGTGCTTTTGAGAGCAGGATCCTGCATTCAACATACTGTCATTTATTTTGTTCTTACAGTAGTTTAAGTAATAAATGCTGTTGTATATAGGTGGAGCTACTCAAGGATTACATAGGATATTCATTATGTGAGACAAAAGGTCAGCCTATTTATTCATTCCTGGAGGACTAAGGAATGAATACTTGTGTCACCAATTATGATATCAATTCCACTGCTAATAGTTATGATTGTGACTCTAGGATTTTGGTCATAAATAAGTAAGAGGGTAGTGGCATTTCTATTTGCATTAATTTGAAAAACTTCTGCAGACAACATTTTATATAATCACTATTTTAAAATGTGTTTGATATGTCAGGTTACATACACTGGCACTTTGTATGCCTTTTTTTTTTTTCTATGCATGTAACAGTTCTGTTCTATCCATAAAATTATTTGGTGTAAGTAAGCTTCTCTCTTCATAATATTAATTCCATAAAGATATTTACACACTGACAATAAAGAAGCAAGTTTACATTTTCTATGATTTTTTTCTTTATTTCAAATCTTTTCCTAGGAATGGGACAAATTTCTAAAGTAGACAAGATTGTGGACAAAGAACCTACAAGTTTTGCTTAAACCACAGTAACAAATTGTTTTAACATTGTTTAATCTTTAAATACATTGAATGCATATAATGTAGCTAAACAAAGTGTGGGATGAATTTGCAGAAATTTCAATATTTGGGTTTTACTGGATGTAACCATGTAAACAGGATGTAATGTTTACTTACTATAAAGCCCATGTTTAGGACACCGTAAAAAAATGTTTTTCAAATTGCAATTAGTTAAAGACCAGGGAAAAGGAAAATAGCACACCAGCTTCTTACAGGTGCAAAACCAGCCTACTGAATTATGCACTGAAAAATTATTCCTGCAAGCATACAACCTGCTTTAACCTGTGTATTTGGAACAAGGCAGAGATACGAGAGATTTTTGTTACTTGGCACCAGCTCTTGGAAGGTTCAAAGGTACTGCAGAGCTTTCTCATCTCCAGTGAGGAACTTGTTGGTAGTTACTTGCATTTCTATGAACCTACATTTCTATGAACTTTTGCCACAAGGCAAGGAATCTTAGCCTTATTATCTTGACAGCCCTTGAAATCTGCTAGCTCACCTCTTAAGCCTAAATGAGATTCCCATTAAAGGAAGCTCCCACCCTGCCTCATCTGCAGGCTGAAGCACAACCCTTCCATCACTTGGAAAAAGGCAGCTGAAGACAAGAGTGCTAGGCACAGGCCAGGATATGCTCCTCAGCATGCTCCAGTGGCACAGCAAGTAGGAAACTCCCCTGGAATGCAGCCATTCCCCACTAGCTTGCTTGGGCAGCTTCCTGATCAGAGGTTTCTGTGAAATCCACTCCCACATCTCCTCCCACACTTCTAAGGAATCCTCTGAACCTTGAGCTGGGCTGTGACTTCCTCCAGGCAAAGGGCATCCAGAATTATGCAGTGTGTATGCAGAGCAGAGGAACAAATAATCTGTCTCCAGCATTTCAGCCATAGAGTAAGTGGGGGTGGAAGCATTCCTATAATGACCTGCCTGTTGACACAACTCCAGAGGAAAGAGTGGCTCCCATCCCAATTCATGCTGCTTGAGATGATTAAAAAAACCAGACAACCAAACAGGATATCAATTCATTACATTTAATGCCTCTGCTAATTTATTCTATAATCTTTATCTGCAATATAAAGCCTTCAAGGGCCACTCCATCTGTGCCAAAACATGGTGTTAGTGGTTGATATAAGGACCTACAGCTGCTCACCACTGCTTTGGGCCATCCACTCTTTTGTCATTTTCACCTACCTGCCAACAACATGCTAAGGAAAACATGGAACTGGGCATTACACAAACAACCCAAGTGATATGAGGGACAGAGATAGAAAATGGCACAATGTTTGGAGAAAACAACATGGCTTGGAAGTTCAGGGTATTTTCCCCTTTCCTGTACCTGTTGATTCATCACACCTATCTTTCTTCTCTCTCCTTTATCTAACACATTTGCAGCTTCAGCCCAATCTTTTCAAGTTCCTCACTGTTCCTGAGAAGGAGCATAGTGGTAGGAGGTCCGGAATAAGAAGATGAGGTTGCTCCTCTGCTCACATGCCAGTAAACAAACTGACAGACAGAACTTAGTATGCATTATATAATGACATGCAGTCAGAATATGGATTTGGTACAACACTTGGAAAATTGTTTTGAATCTGTCAGCCGACTCAATCTAAAAGTTCTGGAGCTATTTGAAGCTTGATAAAGTATAAATATGGCTCTCATTTTTCAGTAAGAACACCGAAGGCACTTATTGCATTTAAATGCTGAATGCACCACTGACTCACGTATCGACCATGACCAGTTCATACGCAGTACAGTCCCCATACACAGTTGGCATTACCAAGCTGGTAACTTACAGTAAACTCAGCAAGGCTGAGAGATGTTGTCCCAATTGCAAGTGCAATGCAAACTGCACTGCAAAATTCTTTTTAAGTGCCTCAATTCACTCTCAAACAAGTGAGGAGAAATACCAAGGGAATGTGAGGGTGGGATCCATCTCATCCACCTTGACATATCTACATCAATGAAGTTTAGAGAATTATTCATCTGACTAAAAGTAGATGCCTGCTTTAAAATGAGTTGACTCACTTTATGGATAATATTGACTGTTTTGACTAGATCCCCATTGACCATGACTTTAAGCCTATCGGCTGCCTCTACACACTCTAAAACAGGAGAGAAATTCATTGAGTTTGCCTGAAGGCTAGGGATATTCCAGGACATGATCAAGTAAACTAGTAGCTAATATAGACTGTCTTCCAATTCTCCTTTTAGAGGAAATATCAATGATTCTACAGAGATATCACCACAGCAGAAATTATACCGAGATAGTATAGATAGTCATTAATTAGGCATTAATTAAAAATGAGGGGGAAAAAGGACATAGAAAGAAATTATTTCTTTTATAATCTTCCGTAAGTATAAAGATGTATTTTTTACAATGTTGTTTTATACTGTGCATATGCATACCAACCATATATATACACCATTCATGAATATTCACTAAGAATCAACAAAGTATTTTTATGTAATCAAAATCCTGGAACATTAGGAAGATCGTATGTTTGATAGTTTGCAGATAATATCACAGCCTTTAAACTATTGCTTATAAAAATATTCTGATCTTGAAATTTCAAAGCTATTCAAATAGAAATAATTTTCTGAACTACAGGAAAAAAGACTTATAAGTGGCATTTTTTTTTTATAGAAACATATTCTTGTGACCAGCATGTGAGTGATGCTTTTAGTATATGCACTGAATATGGCATGGTTTTTGGATCATAGAACCTCTTCTAAAACAAAACTGAAGAACAACATAATTTTTCTTACAGAGCATGACATAATTTAATCCAATGGTTGAAATCTGATAAATACTTTTTTCTTCCCCATTTGAAAAAAATCTCATTTCCTCTTCCCCATAACTCTATTAAAATATAAGCCAGCATGTTGATTTGTCCTCCTTTCACTGAGGAAAGGAAGAAGGTCTATATTCTAACTGTTTTACCATAGAGAGAGAGGCATTATCAAACAAATGACGAAATGCTGTATTTAAGACAAAATACAAGAAATATTTTCAAGTTACCAAAAGTTAAAAATAAGGAGGATTTTTTTTTCTTAAACATAAGGATTGTGATTATACATTCACTGGTATTTGTCCTGTTACCTATACCTGCGGAAGCTGCTACAAAATGGTGAACGATTACACTAGAAGAAGGAAAAATCACATATTCCATTAAATATGCATAATATTTATTTATTTTTAGTGACACAAAAAGTTTTCTTATAAAATATATAGAATTTGATCAGCCATGAAGAGAAAATGACTTTTTTCCCAAGCACTATGTACAGAATGTGCATACTTTTTAACAAAACACTGATGTATATTAGCTTTTCATTCTACACAAATATTCCTGTAATGCATGCCTACATTTACAGCCCTGCACAACACAGAGTGCAGCAACATCACTTTCTCATATAATTTTGCTAATGCTGAAGTTAAGCAGAGTGTCTGAAAATGGAAATTAGCACCAGCTAGAAAACAACTACCATCTAACTCCTAAAACGTGCCAAATGCAATCATGTACACTAGCTACAAGTATGCATTCACTTATTTTTAACACTATTAACTCACGAATGAAAACAACAATTTAAAGTCCTGTAAACAATAGGGCCATTCCAAAATATCTGCCACTTCCTATAACCTCCAACCTCATCTTAGGACAACAGGAAAGAAAACATCCCTCAAAGCAATCCTGATCAATCACCCTCCTATGTCTTTCATGTCTTCAGGAGAAAAGCCTGCACACTTTGAAAACAGATCCATTCTTTTTTAAGTTGACTATTAAGAACCAGACTCAAAAAGATATTCAGGCCTTAGGGTTCTTCATTGAAACTTGCAGTTCTCAAATGAAAACTTAGCTGCCATCTTTCAGTGTAGAAATGTGTAGATGCCTCATCTTTGACACTAGAGCTCTCTGACAATAAGGGTTCAAGCAGAACTGCAGTGGCAAATTATTGCCATTTGCTGGTCTTCGCTCCTCTCCTCTGATGGACAGGTTGAAAGTGATCCCTGTAAGTCTGCTAGTTCAACTCCTCATTCAAAGCATCTTCCTCAGTCAGCTTTTGAATTTCTTCAAGGTCCAAGATTCCACAATATTGACTGGAAGTCCATTCCAGCATTTGATTATATTAACAATGAAAATGTTTTTCCTTACAGGCAGAATTTCCTGTATTGCAACTTGTGTCCATTAGCTCTTCCCCTGTCACCATACATTTCAAAGAGTTTGGATCCCTTTCCTATATCCACGCTATCACACTTGGCTCATACACACGTACTTCAGCCTGTGTGATCTTAGTGACTCTGCTGCATTCAAAACCATGTGTCGGTCTCTTTTACTGGGCAGCAAAAACAGTACTCCAGAAGCAGTCTCACAAGCACCAGTGAGAGAGAACAATTACTTCCCTAGACCTGCTGGTTGCAGTTTGCTAATACAATGTGGGATGAGGCTGACCTTGTTTGCCCCAACTGCCAACTCGTACTCATCGTGTCCACCAGTACCACAGGTCCCCTTCTACAAAGCTGCCCTTCAATCAGTTCATCTCCAGCATGTGCAAGACGTCTTACCTGTCTTTGCTGAGCTTGGTGAGACTCCGGGAAATACATTCCTCCAGCTTGTCTCGGTCCCTCTAAGCAACAGCCCTGCCCTCTGGCATATCAACTCCTTCCCTGAAGGCTGGTATGATCCATGAATCTGTTGATAGTACAATCTCTCCCATTAGATCAGATCATTAGCAGTGAAGACACCAAACTGCATTTACCCCAGAATCTGTTCCTGAGGAGGACTGCCATTAGCAGCCAGTTGTGGGATAGACTTTATACTGCCAATCACAACCTGTCTGGCCTGGAATTTCAACCAGTTTTCCATCCACTTTATAATCTGCTTATCCTGTCCATATTTTGACTGGTAGGATACTATCAAAGACCTTGGGAAAAACTCTGCTAAAGCCAAGGTAAACAACCTGCACTACTCTTCCCTCATCCATGGAACCAGTCCACCTCAGAATGATCAATCAATCAGATTCATCAGTGGCAATTTGCCCATGGTAAGTTCATGCTGCCTATTTTTAATCACCTTCTTACAATTCATGAGCTCAGAAATGGTTTCCAGGAGGAAAAAATCTTCCAGGAGACTGAGGTTAGAGTTCTTAGCTTGTAGTTCCCTGGATCCCCTTTCTCAGCCTTCTTGAAGATGGGTATAATATTTGCCTCTTCTGTCCATCATGGACCACTCCACTCACCACAGTGAAGTGGATGGGTAGCACACATATGCTGCCATTGGCTAGATTTCATATTTGCAGTCAGTCTAGAGTGTTCTGTTCATCCATACTAGCCTTGCACCTTTGCTTACCTTTCTTGATTTGGAAGGAACCAGTTCTGTGTTTTGAGAAGGGTGAAGTTCAGTTAGTTGTGCCAGGGCAGCTGACTGCCTTTCATGTGATCCTGTCCAGCAGATTTCCAAACAAGCTGAAATCTGCCCTTTGGAAGTCAAGACTGGCAATTTTATTAGTTTTCTTGTTTATCTCAGGATTTTAAACTATACAAACTCAAAGCTGCAGCCAAAGCTGTCTTCAGCCTCTACACCCTCAGTCAGATTGTTCATGAGTAATTAAGTCCAGTCAGGGCATCTCCTCTAGTTATCTCACCAATCACCTATGCCAGGAAATTGTCATTGCATTTTCTGCACTTAATCCATGTTTCAAGTGCTGACATGTTTGGAACCTGGTGTTCCATAGAACAGGGAGTTGCACTTTCACTGTTTTGACAGCAGAGATCTCACTTCACTTCCAGAAACTGAATATCCTTATCACCTGCCACAGGGAATCTTGGGGAGAAGGCTCCTTTAGCACAGCTGTAGTGCTGAGGAATACTGTGGCTCTGATGCAAAGGGCTAGTAACATATCCCAAGGAAAACGTGATAAGGAGGTTAGAAACATGGTGCCAAGGCCTCTTGTGATAAGTGATACCTTCATCACCTCTGCTAAGGCTAGGAGTGGGCAAAGAGACTAAGGGGATATTCTCAGGTTGTTGGTGCTAGCTCTGGAGATGAGCAGAGCAGCCCTACTCATATTGAGTCCTATCCACTCACCAGTGTCCAAGGAACACACAGCACACCAAGACTCACCAGTGCCAATGCTGGCATGTTTGCAGTCACTTCATGTAGGCTTTTAGCAGGTGCAACAATACTGGATATGATTCCTTGTTGCCATATTTCACTTGCCAATGAGATTCCTTTATAATTTCATGTGTCCAAGAAGTCTTGACATAGTGAAGATTAGAGCTGCTTCCTTGAGGGAAGACACTCTAGGTGAATGGCCCCATATGGATTCTGCAATGAAGAGTGTCAGTTCACAGCTTCTGCTATTTAATGTGGCCATAGAATTCTGAATTTAATGATGTCTACATAACTTTCCAATTCTGTAATTCTGCTGTTCAAGCTCCTGAACTCTTCTTGTTCTAAAATAATGATGAACAAAAATTATTTATGTATTTATCAGAAATACATGACCTTCTGAGCAGTTAAGGCTTTTGGTTTGCACAGATGACAGGACCCAGACTTTTTAAGCCATTATGAGTGAAAAGCTGCCTTTGGAGAAAACTTGTAGAGGCACATCCATATCTTGAATATCTAATAAACAGAAAACAACTCTCTCCCTGTCTGATACTCACCTCAGCACTGTCCCCAAGAGAAATTTGTGTGGGGCACTCCTTGAATCATATCCTACACAAAAGAAGGAAAGGTCTTTGAGCTTGAGTAATGAGAAATTGTTGGTCCTGGAGGTAACAGAGTCTCTGCCAGGAAGCATCTACATTCTTAAACTAAGCTCTTTCAGTTAACACCATGCACAACTTTATACATGAAAAATCCCATCATGTTATTGAAGATTTCACAAATATGTTTTTATATTACAGAAAAGTTCTCTTGAAATAGAAAAATACTCTGTGGAAAACAGTTTGGTGTCAGTCGAAGAGTCATGTTCAGTATCGCCATTTTTAATAATTAGCTATTTCTGATTTTTTTCCTACCATTTTAAACAAGTAAAACATCAAATAGCTATTTGGAAAAAAAAGGTGAAAAGGATTTGAAGGATCTTAAGTGAAATTTAAAACTTTAATGGATGGTAACTGTATGTGAAACACCAATGACTACCATTAAAGAAAAATGGTGATGCTGCCCTCCTAATTCAGTCTTGGCAGTTCTGAAGCACCTAGCTCCTTTTATTTTACATGAAATGCAGAACTAGAGCCTGGTTCAGAAGGGAACTGCAGTAAAGCAAGAGAGAAATTCTATCATAACAGCAAGTGCTTTATATAGTATTTCTCAGTTTCATGTGAAGCACAACAGCTGGGCTAGAAAAGTATGGACTTTTAGCTAAAATATGACATTTCTGCTTTTAAAAAGAGGGAAATATAAGTGATCCTGTTTCTCCATTTCCATTCCTGACTTCCCATATCCTCTGCTTTACTCTCATAATAAATGCAGATTCTTTTTTTATAATGGTTTATTGTAAAAATTTTTTTTCTTTGAATAACATTAATTTACTTAACTTTGACTACTCTGAGCTACTCAAGGTCTAAACTGCACATTTCTTTTCATTCATATGCAGAGGCATTTGACTTGTTCCTCTGGAGCCTTCCAAGGCTTTCAAGAAATTTAAAGTCACACCTGTACTGGGACTCTTACACAGGATTAGCCATTGCGTTATTATTATTATTATTTCTGCAGAAACTGAGCCATTAGCTGTTGAAGACAGGGGAGGTGTAAGGATGATGATGCTGCACTATTCTGGGCTCCAGACAAACCCTTTTGCATCACTGGAATGGTAAAATTTCCACTGTGAGCTGTAAGAAGAGCTACCTCACCCCATTTTTCTAAAGCACAGCATGGATTTGATATAATTGCATGGGGAAGGGAAGGAGTTCTAATTGAAAATCAACAATTAAAAGTCTGTACTTCTTTTTCAGTTGCTTAACTTTACTGTTTGCAACATAAAATTATAATCTGGGAATAGCTACATTTTCATTCTCCCCTCCACACTTATGGGGGTGTCATGAAACACCAGATAGATATTCTGTAGCTCCAGTGGCAAAGTGCTACTGAGAAGAGATCGAGGAAGTGGAAGATGGAAAGAAGTCTAAAATGGATGGGAATTACCAAGAGTTAAAACTGATGGACCTATAGGAGGGCAGCAGTGGACAAGACAGCATTTTGGTACTTCAGTATTCAGGTTTAATGCTGACTTGAAAACATTCATCTTACCAAAATAAAGCCTGTGATATATGTCCACTGTCCCTCTCATCGATAGGAAAACATGTAGGAAGCATACCACTCCTACAACATCCCTTATTTGCAAGACTTAAGATGTGGAATTTATTTCATATATGCATTTATTTTAAAACTTGTCCATACAAAAATAAAGGGGGGAAAAAAGTATATAGGTAAAGAAAATCTAAATATGGATGTGCCATGGTTGATAAGGTCCTGTTTTAGATTCTTCGTAAGTGGAGGAGAGAAACTTATTTCCAAATCTCAGTCTTGAAAATACTCAGCAGGCTCTCTTCTCTCTTTATGCTCAACTTCTCTCCATCTCCGAGGCCTGCAGACTCCAAATTTTAGGTCTTTGGATGCAGCACAAAGTTTGGGGGCAAACAGACTCAAAGCTGGCAACAGTAGGAAAATTATAATGGTTGTTATCAGCCAAAAAGCCTTTCCTAACTCATTTTTGTATGATCTGTGTCCATCCCACACGGACATGCTGCATATAAAATGAAAGTTAGTTTTCTGTTTCTGTTTTCTTAAAAACAGCACAAGATCTCCCCTGAAAAAGAAATAAGAGCACAGTTAACAATTCAGCCAGATGCACTCCTTTCAAAATGCCTGTGACAACTGGGCTAAGCAAACTAGAGAAAATATTTATCAAAAGATACCACTTTATCATCCTTTTAAAGAGCAACAATGAAGTGCTAGCAGCACCTGATTGCCTTGACTTCAGATTTCTTCTACTCTCTCACCAGTGATAACAAGGGGGACAATAGTCTGTCCTGTTGTTACCTGAATAGTGTAGATGCTGGAGCCTTTGAAGAAGGACTAGAGGAAGAAGGAGTCCTGTCTTTCTCTGATTCTTATTTCTACATTCTCTTGCACTGATGCTGCCCTTCACACAGTGGTAACAAGTCCATTTAAAAGACATTTTTTTAACCTGTAAATTTTCAGCTGAATTATTATTTATTTATCTCTGTGTTGCAGTACAGGTGTGTGAAATGCTATTGGCAAGAGGAAGGAACGGAGAAAAGGATGAAAATGTATGATGTGCTTCCTTTTTGGAAGCAGCACCTAGTTTAAGCCATGAAGAAATTATAGAACAACTTGCTCTTACCTAACTACTACGAGTGATTCCAGAATTTGCCATCAGTTTTGAGTATTTAGTGCATAACTGTAGAAAGCCATTCTGCTGGAGGGTAAAGTTATCACTAACATTCAGAAGCTAGCTACCCAGACTACAAATGCTACAAAATTCATAAGCAACTAGTTTGGCAAGTCAACTACAGCATTAAATTAACATCATTATCTAAATTATTTACCTGCATGTTTTCAGCATCAGGGATTTACCCAAAATCTCAGTTGTTCCTATAAGGAAACAGCACCATAAGAGACCTGTGTTGGTCAAGAGGACACGTGGATACTGTGCACACATATTTTCATGTCTCAGAGGTGATCCATGAAAACAACTGCCTCTTTAGTTACATTACATTCCATATTTTGAGGGGATATTAATTTTTATATCAAAACTTGTCCTATAAAAGTGTTGGGAGTTGTCTGCTAAGATTTTTCTTCCACAGAGGTTTAAGGGGCTCTTAAAGAACATGGAATATTTGTCTCCAAATAATTTTATGTATGCAGAGTCTCAAGTTAATATATAATCTGGCACGTAACTCAAGAGTTACTTCCTGTAGTAGCTAGTTTGTGGTAATGACATATCATTTCTGTAGATTGTGTAAACTGCTGGCTCTGTTTTCATACTTCTATAAAATCTGTTTGCAGAGTTTGTACTTCTCCTTTCATTACAATTAGGCAGAAGTTCAAACAACAAAACTTTATTGTTCATATCTGTAAGTTAAATAACAACTGCAAAGTATAAAATGTTTTAAAACCAATGTAACAATGTGCAAAACACTGCTAAGTTCTACTGAAACTACAGTGTACTTTCAGAAGTGACTAATGTGCAAAGAAGTAACACAAGTACCGTTTGCTTGCAATTCTCCCATCTCCTCTTCATGCACCCTTATTTTTTGTCCAAGTGGTTCATTATGGAGTATATGAGAAAGACCTTTGTATGGCTAAACTCTGGGACCAAACATTACAAATATATATATATTCAAACTGTGCTTTCTATCTTATATTCAGACCAAAAAATGTTAACAATCTATTTTTCTCTTCCAACTTTACAAAAATGCTGAAAACTCATGTTTTAGAGATCAAGATATATATGAAGTACTTTGAAGTTGTAAACCCTTACTAAAAGTTAATTGGCAACATTGCTGCAGAACATGAACTCAACTGGTGAGTTTCTTTGCAAGTATCTTTACTTACCAGCTTTGAGTAGTGAACTGGCAGCAGTTTTGTCCAATTAATTTTGACATGAATGAAGGATGAGACAGTGAACTGTTTAATAGTACTTAAATCCTGACTGCTTTTAAACATCCATAAGACATTACACAGAATACTAGTACTCCAGTTTTAAGAGATGATCCAACATTTTCTGAGAAATGATGCTCAACTCCTGGACTCCAGTTCCAACAGGTATACATGTATATACAAACCGTTTTAGGTAGGTGAATTCAGGTCTTGGAAGTAATGCTGGGAGCTGTGACTTAAAGAGCTCCTGTTCTCTGGCTGATAGGTGGGGGCACCAGCACAAAGAACAGCGCACAAGCGAGGCTGGTACAGTGCTGTGTTTGATAGTTTCTGTTCCAAATGTGCCACCCAAGATAGCTGGCCTACAGTGGCCTCTCCTCCTGACACACCCAGGCTCCTGCACATGCCTAAATGTTAAACTTGCCATAACTTTATTTGCATTAACAAAGCTGTGGGTGTTAATATTTATAGCTACTCCATATTAAAGATCAGCAAGCTTTACTAAGGCAACAACTAACCAATTAGGTGATCAGTAGCTTTGCTTTAGCTAATATTCAAAATAGTTCATAACATCCAGTGCACGGTATTATGCTGTGGCAATGGACAAAACTCCATCAGACAGGACACCCTACTTTCAAAACACAGAAATCTGCGGTGTTTCAATGTGCATGACAGCTTTATAAAAGACTGGTGACTGCACAGCATGTTTTGTCATGTACTAAGTCAGGGGGAGATGTGCTGAGATACCTAAAAGGCCACATAGAATCCTGCTAGCCAATTTTTCCTTCAGAAATTAGGGTTAGGGTTAGGGTTCAGAAATTTGCAAACATTACATCCTCTCATTTTCCACGAAAAGATGGTAAAGAATATCAAAGCTGCTTCAACGATTTGTTTGCAAAGTGTCTGATTCTCTCCAGCTAGCACTGAACCAGTTGCAGGCATATAGAAGTCAGCTTCACTAATCTCTATACTTAGGAACCACAACTGGCCATTGAAACCAGCAAGAACAAACAAAAAGTAAGTCTTTCTTTCGCCTCTTCCAAAAAACAGACCTTTAGTGACCCTTCATTACAATAGATGTTCAGTGTATCATCCAAATACCCAGTGGAATATTCAATGAAAAGTTTTTTTACACAACAGTATTACTGAATTCAAGCCATAAACCTCTTTATTCTACAGTAATTGTAGAAGATCACATATTGGAATTGGAAACTCTTCCCTCTCCTCAACTATAGGTTTGGGGGTGTTTTTGGTTTTTTAGTGCTCTTTTAGGGTAGTTTATTTGGTTGTTTTTTTGTTTGGTTGGGTTTTTTCTGGGTGGGGGGTTGTGTTTTCCCCTTCCCTCAAGAAAGAGGCATGTGACCATGGAGTAGCCCTTGGTGTTCTAATCACAAGACATGTCTCAAACATTTTGTGACAATGAGATGTGGAGGGGGTAAGGAGAAATAAAGCAAACAGCTGTGTAAAGCTCTTCTATCATTCTCAGACCTAACTGAAGCCAGTAGTAGCAAAGTGAGAACAGAAAACCCCTTCAACTTTACAAATGCTAGACATTCATCAGTCAATCCTTTCTTAAAACTTAAATAAATAAAAATGTAAAAGGCAGATAGTACTTACAAGGCTAAGCCTTTGCTAGCAATGAAGCCACCAGAACCTTCTAAGCAGAGATTAGCAAAATAAGTAACCTTCTGGGAATTCTCCCATGCCATTCAGCTAGGGAACAAAACTGTTCCATTCTTCGACTGTGGTCCAGTAACAAGTTAGAACTGGATGTGGTGATCACAGCTCTGCAAAGTAAAGGGATACAGTCTGAATACTGCTAAAGACTCATTCTGTGAACCTAACATAACAGCTTCAGCTACCCAGAGACCTAAACCCATTGGAGGAAGCCAGAACCAAGAATTACCACTGCAAAGAATATTTTTTACTACTTAAGAGTAGAAGTACAGGACTTGCTACCTTCCTCTCATGTAATGTCTCTGCACTGGACAGTGTTATTCTGAATAATAAGCATTATATTGGAACAAGCTAAGTATAATAAAGGATAGCTGACTTTCTGTATTTGAGCCCAGTATACGTATTTTGCAATCACATTGCATATAATGACTATAAATGCAAACACAGCCAAACAGCTACTAGGATATGTTTTCAGGGTTGAAATTCAACAGAGCTTCAAGTTCTAAGACACATTATCAGAAGAAACAATTGAAGACAGGCTGTTTTTTTGACTTTAATACTACCTGAGTTTAAGTTTTCCAGGCCAGGTGTCTGGCTAAAGCTGATGTTTTCAAAAGAACTTTTTAACAAAAACTCAAGTGTGAAACTGAGGAAGGAAAAAACCTCCCATTTTTACTCAAGTACAGGAAAAAATCTCTTAATGTATCTGAAAAGGCCTTTACTTTGAAGAGAAAATTTGAAATTTAGTGGGAGAGTAGCCTTTGAATCAGAGATATGACTTTTGGGCAGTTTTCCTATTGAACAATGTGATAAAGCTAAAAGCTCTTAAATCTCAAGCTGCACATGCACAGCAAAAAATAGTAACAATGAAAAATATATTAAGAGCTAGAAGCTGGGTTTTCTGAAAAACCTGTGGCATCAGCAATGCTGCAGGTTGGTCCTTGCAGAGTTCCTCCTGCCTGAGGCAGCAGCAGGGATATTCAGGCTGGGGCTCTGCTGTGTTCCGTGCTCCCTCTTCTGGCACCCAGGCCCCACCAGAAGCCAGCGGCAGCCTCGGGGGGAGGGAGGGATAGGGGATGTTGGGAGGCTACCGCAAATGTATCCTGTTGGGTACACACCACTTCTATTTCTGTCTTTATCAGGGATTTACAGAGTAGCGAGTTTCTTGTATCGAACTGAAGGCCTCTAGTGAAGTGCTTCTCATTTTCTGAGCTCCAAATTCAAGCCACTGGAAAATAAATGCAGAAATATAAAGGAGAATCTACCGTAGGCACACAGCCTTCTCAGCGCTGCAAATGCTCTGAGGAACAGAGCATCCCAATAATGCTGCACCAGGGAAAGCCCTAATAGCGCAGACAGGACCACAGCATGTACCCACAAATTCAAGAAAAATCCTAGTGCTGAATTTAACACAGTTCTAAAATTATGGCTAGCACTTCTACTGCTGAACAACCTCTACCCTCAAATAACCTGTACATTATATTCAGTGAAACTGTGCTTTGATTAAATGAAAACCAACCCAATTTAGCACTCATTCATTTATTGAATCCCTCTATGCCTTAGTTTTCTCAGCAGCATAGTGATGATAATGCTACTAGTTCAGAATTTTGGGTACTCATTAGTATGAGCATTCAGATACTCTCCTAATGATTACGCTAGAAAAGCCTGCAGGAAAAGCAAAAAAAAAAAAAAAAAAAAAAAAGTGTGCAGATAAACACATCAGATATAGAGAAATAACCTTTCTATTTCTATTTTTTTAATTCAGTGAGAACTTTCCATCTCCAACTGAAGGATCGTGCACTAAAAAAGTGATGGTATAATTAAGGATTATCATGATACACATGCATGATGTCACAGATGAAAAGCTTAAGCAATGAGCACTGAATTCTTCAACTTAATTTTCATATGTGTTAAGGTTGGCATGTAATTATACATAATTTTATGTTCAGATGCAAACAGAAATTATTAGATTTTTATTTAATGTCAAGAACTCTCTGGCAAAAAAAATTTAGTAAATTGAATGTCTATGTGTTTTCTTCTTAACTAAATAAATTGATCCTGAGATTAACTTGGCTGCAGCTAGTTACCCAACTATTAAACAAAACAAAAAAAAAATTAAAAACATCTCTGAAAACTTAATTTGCATATTTTGACAAAAAGAGATGATTCTAGAACAAAAATTAAATTACTTGGGGAAATTCACACTATCATACTGGATATTATATACGTAATTTCTGTATATTACTGCAAACAAAACACAAACACTTGACTTACGGATACACAACTCCTTTTTCATAACTTCTAAGCACAATTAATTCCAATGGAACACCATGGAGGCCCTGTAATAGCTTGGTAACCTCTCACAGGAAAAACTGTGACATTATTTAATTTTCCTAAAGCAAAGTGAAGAATGAGCCCAGACTTACTAAAATAGAGGTAACAGATGAAACACAATATTCTCAGGGTTTCATTCACAGATAGACTTATTTAACTTTTATTGTCTTATAAATCTAGCCAAACTTGTAGCATTAAAGAAAAAAAAATCTATTTTGACTTTGTAAAGTATCACTAGAGAAACTTTGTGAAGTATGAAACAAGACAGGAAGAAGTTTCATTCTGAGATCACACTGTAAGTTCAGGCCACTCCTGTTTATGCTGGGGAATTTACTACAAGCAGTCTATGGTGCAGCATGTGATTCAATCCACCAGGAAGTTCGTGTTCAACAAACTGGAATAAACTACTTAGAACAATAAAGAAGTCTAATTTATTGATTTGTAATAAAGCGTGTATACTACTTAATATTCCCAAATCAGCAAAAGATAGAAACAAACTTTAGGATAAATGCATCCTAAGGAGATCCATATCTAAAGTCACCTGTGACACTGCTTGAAAGCACACAGAGAGGGGGTTGGTCCCACTCAAAATTATCAGATTTTACTCGCTCCCTTTCCCAAATCCCCACTTTCTTTAATCTCCCTTTTTTGTTCTTCAGCAGGAGTGCTAGAATTTTTCCAGTTTCTTGACTGTTTTCCATTCCATGCAAGGGAGTTTCATGGAGGGAAGAGACCTTTCCCCAGCGTGCCGTTTCCCCAGTGCCGTTCCCCGACTCCGCACACAATCTAGATAAGGACAAGGCTAAGCAGACTGGCTTGCGCAACACGTTTGAACACGGCTACACCCCAAATACCCAGACTGCACTTTTGCCTTTTGGTAAAGGGTTAGGGAACTATGCTCACTCTTCTTTGAACACTATTAAGTGCATCTCAGCTCAGAACCAGACGCTGGTCCTGCTCTGTGCATCAACTGCTCTTAAACATAAAGATCTCTTAAGCCTCAGAAACCCCAAAATCAAGAACTGATAGAAGATATATATATATGTATGCCATTTCTACATTTTCCTAAGCAATCATCATTGCATACAAAGAGAGTTTGCAGGAAGATTCTGGGTGAGACAGCTCTCACATTAAGGTTCAAAATTCAGAAGTAGTAGCAGCTCTGCCTAATAAACATATCTATAATAACTGTTATAATATAACAGTCACAGATTCCCCTAAAAGCTTTAAATGCTATCCCTGTTTCTGCAAGCAACAGGAACTGATACTCAACTACATTTGATAACTCTTTATAGTGAACAACTTAAAAAACTATTTCTCATTTGCTTTTTTTTTTTCAGTTATATTAGACACAACTGTAGTTTAAAAATTAAGTCCTATATTTTAAGTGCGATTTTCAAATTAGCTATCACATCAACATTTGACCAATGCACTCAGTTTGAGGGGATTTGTTTTCCAGTCACTCTGAAAACAAAACCACTTCCTTTTATCTGGGCAACACAACAGATATGCAATGCACCTATCTATCAGCAGTCTGTAAAGCCAAATCCAGATTAAGCATATCACCCACAGAGGCATTGAGAATCATAATTCAACAACTACAAATTTCTTCTTTTTAAAGTACATATGTGGGTATTCTTGATTTGCTTGGGCAATTTTAACAGCTTATTTTTCAGAAGTGTTCTTCTAGTACATTATATTGAAATGTATAAATCGTCACGTGTATTGTCTGTCCACACATTCACAGTTGCACAAATTATTTCCCTTTTCATTTATGCCCATATAAAAGTTAGGTAAGGCAACTGCTTACTCAGAGAAATTTCAACATAATTTTAGCTACTGTTGACTGTCATTTGAATTGGTAAAAATATAAAAATGAGACAGTGCTACGTGACAATGACATATTGCTGGCAAATCTGCAATACTGAGAACTCTCCTACTAGAGGATTTCACCATTTTTACTTATAAGAAACTTCATGAAGTTATTATGTTTGGTTTTGCTTTAAATTAATTGGACCATCCCCATTCAAGTAAGACACCATAATTCTTAATCTACAAAAACCCTTTGCCAAATTTAATCTGATCATTTCTGTATTTCTGAGCATGGTTCCTTTTTAACATTCAGAAGAACTCTCTCAGTTTTGCATCTCAATCAAACTTTCACACATTCAACCAGAAACATGAATCACACTAGTGCTATTTCAGGGAACAGTGTACAGCTATAGTGGCAGGGGAAGTGTGCCATCCACCAGATCACACTGACACAGAGGTCATCATAAAGTAATGAGTGAGATTAAAAGTAAAGGTAGTTTACTAAAACCAGATTTTTTATTTTTTTTTAAGAAAAAACCTGCACTCATTTGCTGTCAGGACATTAATGACTTCTGTGCCACAGACCAATGTTTGCTAGAACACCAGAACATTTTTTGCCATTGAGGCCCTAATGTGCATTACAGTTATGATAACCTAAAGCAGCATATTTTTTTGTTTGCCTGCAAGAAAATGATATGAATTTGACAATCTTTCTAAACTTACTGCTGAAGTATTGCCAACCCAGAGTGTTAAGAACACCTAAGTCAGGACCCACAAAAGAATTAGGATTTCAAAAGTATAGCAGTTTTGAAATCAAGTGGGAATGCATTTATGTATTTATTTTTACTTCTCCTTCAGTTGCATTTACGGTTTTCCTGCTTTGTGTTTCATACTTCATTGCACAACTGAAAAACCATCAACTATGAAGTGCCTGTAATTTAAAGCGTTTAGATGACCATAAAACTCACTAATTCCAAGAGGTGGACCTTTGTGAAGAATAGCAAGTATTAAAAAATTACAGTACTTACAGATAACATTTTTTAAAGTGTTTAATCAATTTACTTGGGTATTTTCAATAGTGTATATGTAGCCAAATTTTCCCTCTGTTTTATTTCCTGAGTAGTAATACCATAAAGTTGAAATGAGGAAGGTGCACATCCTGTTGGAAGATTTAGGAGGGTCAGAGTCATAAATTATTTAAATAAACAGCTTAAGAAGGTGGGTCTTTTCAATGTAAAAGTGTTTTTAATTTTTTATTTTTTTTAAGATTATCTAAGCCAACCTTCCTGAGGTAGTTAAGTTCCAATAACTGTACTGAAAATTGTAAGTGTGCAGCAGTAGTCTGTAATGCTGGACCTCCACTTTCCCATCTTTGTATGCTGCTTAGCATTTAATTTCATGTATAAGACCCTTTAGTTATGATTTAATGGGGTACCGTTGAAGACTAGCACTTAACGGTCTATACTAAGTAGCAGAATCTTTACAAGAAACTAGCACACTACAATGGAATAAAGAATTCTGAAGTATTAATCAGTAAGAAGGGGTAGGGCTTACTGGATAAATGCCCCTTGTTGAAGTGTACATTTGCCACAGCAAGTTAAGCAAACAGTGAAGTCTTTAGCCCAGCATATGCAGTTATTCCAATACTTTAACATTTTTTATTAAATATGGTAGAGCTACATGTTGCAAAAATTGCCAACTTTGCATTTCTGATGCTCTCCTCTACTAGAAGTTCACCCTGTAATTCTTGTGCTTATTTTCACATTGCACCTCTATTATATACTAGTCTTAAGAGGATTTTACTGGGTTCTCTAGTCCATCTAATAGGCTGCTTTCAAAAAGGCTGATTTTCAAAAACCATGTATATAGCATATGCATACAAACAAAATTAACTTCAGTTTCTAAGGATTTACAGTTTACTGTTTAATACAAGTAGCATATAGCTAGCGATACTAGTTACACTCACCAGAACATAATGTTTCCACAATTCAAGAGCAGCACAAGCAAAAATGGAAATGAGTGAGACTATTTCACCCACCAGAAAGCAAATGCAGAGTTAGTGGCACACCGACAAGAGCAACTGTGGCTCTCTCTAAAGCAGCAATACTGCAGATAGGTAATAAGCCCAAAATTTAATATTAAAGATTAAAAGGAAAACAAACAAAAAAACAAACAAAAACCAAAAAAAAAGAAACTGCAACACAGGATACAGCTGCTAGACTAGAACATTCACTTAACATAGCTATACTTAAAAAACTCCAACCAACAGAGAGGCCAAAAACCCATGCAAGCAGCACTGAATAGTGACGATTCAGGTACTGAACCTATCCTGTCTGCAAGAATTCTGTAACATTTATAAACTGAAATTCACTGTATACAGTAACATTTACAAACTGTACAGGTTTTATTTTACAAATAAACTCAAATTGCATTGACAAATACTATAGAGATCAATAAAAGGACCTTTTCCTAAACAGTAAGATTTTTTCCTTTTCCCTATTTTTGATCTTTGACTCTTTAGTATGCAGCAAGATATTTCAAAATTCCTTAATATCAAGGTAATTTTGGTACATTAAAAAATTGTAATTTACACCAGAAATAGGTAATTTCCTTTATTTAATACCATTAAAAAGCATGCATATTAAGACAAGTAGATCAGAAAAAAAAATGTCTCAATGCAGAAAAGCCCCTTCTTTCTCTTAAAACGGAGGAGCCCCGTTTGCAAACATGAAACAAACAAACTCGGTGGTGTCATACTAGAATCAGCTTTACAACCTTATCGTAAGGGATCTCCACCTGTTTCAGCTTTAAGCCGAATAACCAAGCTATAACAACCAAGACATCGTTAATGTAAAATAGTAATTATTACCAAGCTAGCATCGCAAGATCAGAGTCCAATACAGACATTTTGTACCTTGGTGCTGGATAATGTTACTTGAAGCATCAGCCTAATAGCCGGTTTATTCATAAGGCACGCACTAAAATGAAACAAACAGTAATTAAGTGCTGACAGTGACCTAGTTAGCTACACAAGGAGCTCGATCGTCCTGTCATTCATTACAGGTTCGCCGGAATCCGACAGGAACGGTCCCGTCCGCCCAGGCAGCACGGGAGCGACACGCAGCGCCCCCCGTGCGGGCAGCGCCCCCCGTGCGGGCAGCGCCCCCCGTGCGGGCAGCGCCCCCCGTGCGGGCAGCGCCCCCCGTGCGGGCAGCGCCCCCCGTGCGGGCAGCGCCCCCCGTGCGGGCAGCGCCCCCCGTGCGGGCAGCGCCGGGCTCCGGCCCGGCCTCGCCAGCCGCTCCCGCAGCCCCCCGGTCTCCGCAGCCCCCGGGTCTCGGGGAGCTACGCCCCGGCCAGGGTTGCGCCAAGGCCGCCTTCCTCGGCCTTCGCCTTCCCCTCCCCCGCGCCGCAGCTCCGGCAGTTCCGCGCTGGGATAACGCAGCCTCTGACTCGCTCCCTGCTCGCCTTCACCTCCCTCTCCTCCCTCCCCCAACGCGCGCGCTCGACACTCTCCTCTCGGCGGCAGGAGGGCGGTGAAATCCTCCGCTCTCCTCCCTCCGCGCTCCGTAACGCGAACGAGCCGCCGCCTTCTGTTCCTCAGCCTCGGCCAAGTCGGTGTTTGTTGACAGGCTCTGCCGGGCACAAAATGGGGCTGCCGCTTCCATGGGCGCCGCCATTTTGTGAGGAGCCGCCGCGCTCCCTTGCAGCAGCCGCAGCCTCGTTCGCGGCGGCCGCGACAGCCCAAGCGCGCCGGAGCGGCGGCTGGGGTCTGTGTAATGGTTGAATAAAGTGACCCCATCTAGGGAATCCCCGGCTGACAGTTACGTAAGGGACCGTGCGCAATTGCTGTGCTTAGCATGGAAACCTACCTAGCCCTGCTACGCAACTTGCCTGTCCTCCCCTCTGCCTCCCTCTCCCCTCACGGAGCGCCCGGGCGAGCGGTGACTCACCTCTGCCGACCGCCCCTCGCGGAGGGGAGACCCCCTGCTTTTAAGGAATTTTTAAGGCATGATTAAAAACCACCGCCCTCCCGTGAAGGGAGTGTCGACTGTGTGTCTAAAAGAGGGATTTAGCCCCCCAGTCGCTTGTTTTAAACCTCTCTGATTTGTAATATCCTGGCTTTGGCAGTCTACGCATACTGTAGCTGAAATAGCAGAAGCTCAGAGTGTCAGAGACAGGAGCTGCAGACCAAGATCTGAAGGTCTAATTTTAGGGGGGAGGGGGGAAGGCTCTTAATGCTACCGTGAATAAGACACTATGCATTTCATACTCTGAAATCCACACAGCACTAACTTTCAGTACAGAATATTAATTTGAAATTCAGGTATTTCTTCGTCCTTCCCCCCAAATCATGAACCCAGGGCAAATCTTACCAAGCTTTATTGTATCTGTCTCTATATTCAAGCTGAAACAACACACAAGTCAAAAGGAAAAAACACATTATTTAAAAAAAAAATTGTTTTCTGAAGTTAGTACACAGAGTAGAAAGGAATTGCAGATTTCCTACTTTAAGTGCTCACTGGAGGCCATCATGTGCCATTGATTCTAAAACACAGCTCCTTACTGACTTTCTTGAGTTCTCTTTAAAAAAACCCTAACCCTGTAGGCCCGATCTAGCTTCGGAATCAATGTACAGGTTGTGAGGGGCAAATATTCCTTCAAAGTCTCTTAAACTGGAGCAAGCACTCACGCGTGGCTGTTTGCATGCCAGGGAAGGACAAATGCCCACCTGGGCACCTCTTGCTTTACCTGAGGAGCAAGGGTTTGATGGAAGGCACACTTCCCCCCATGGACCCTTTCTTCCTCTTGTTTACCCCAAGAGTCACCAACCTCCACTGTGGTCGGTGTGCAGGTCTTCTGGTTTCCCGAGTGGAAAACTCGTCAGGAGGTGAGTGTTTACAAACACTGTGCACATCACAGGCAGAGGGGTAGCAGCTTGCGGTACCAGTGGGGGCTGCAGCCCATCCAGGGTAAGGGCCAAGACTTTCCTCCTCCATTAATTTTGTGCTCCTCCATTTGTCAATGTACAGAAAGATATGAGCGGCTTAGATTGTATATAGCAGTCTTAAGGCACTTAGATTATAGGCTGTAATATCTCAAGAGAAAGAAGGAGTAAGAAATATTCATGTAGTGACCCTGAGCCTAAGCTCCTGCTGACAAACCTCTCCAGGGCACCTCCTACTCGGGGGAGCACTCAGCATTCTCCTTTGGGGAGTTTTAAAGCCCTCATGCCACAAAATGGGGGTTCCTGCTGCCCCCCTCCCGCCCCCGCCGTGCCATCCGGGGCGACTTCCTGCCCTTGGAAACACCTCGGCCCGGGGGACTCGGAAAGTTTTCCGAAAGTCCGCATCCCACCAGTGCCCCCTTCGGTTGTTGTTTTCTCTCCCCTTGAACTCAGGGCGTTGGGTTTAGTCCAATTAAAAAATTCGTCCCCGCTTTCCAAATCCACCTTTCCCGCCCCCCCGCCCCCCCCCACTCCCCCCCCCCCGCCGGCAGCCAGCGGAGAGAGGCCGGTCGGCGCGAGCCTGGCACGGGAGGGCCCCGCACCGGCCCCGCGCCCCGGAACAGCCGGTAGTAGCCGTTTTTTTCCTCCCTCTTCTCCCTCTCCCTCGCCTCTTTCCGCCCGGCTTTGTGTGAAGTTTGCGGCACATTGCAGATGAGCCCTTAGCGGCGAGAGGAGCCTATTGTTCCCCGCCAGGAACTGCTTGCTGGGGCTGTGCTGGCTTTTGCCTTTGGAGCTGCCTCCTGCAGTACCGGAACCGGCCTCCGGGGCCCGCTGTGTCGCGCTCTCGTCCAGGCAGAAGCACGGCGGCCTCAGATCTTTTTGTCTGAGCGAGAAGAGAAGTGAATCCCGCTGCCGCCGCCACCGCCGCCGCCGCCGTAGCTGTACAGTGTGTGTGTGTAAGGGAGCGAGCGAGGGAGCGAGCGAGCGAGGGAGGGAGATCGCATGGAGCCGCGGCTGTAACACACACACACTGTCAATACCTCACTCCGGCTCCCCCCCCGCCCCACCACAACAGTAACCCAATTCATTGTGTGATCCAGCAGCACCATGTTGAGTCTCATGTGCAGGCTGGATCGGCTGGGTTTGTGGTGCTGAGAGAGGCAGCAGCCGCGGGAGGAGGAATTACTGAGAGGTGCCCCTCTCCCTCCCTGCCTCTTCGCCCGTGTGTTGTGTGGAGACAGGACTCGCAATTACCACACTCTCGGGGCTCCCTTATTCCTTTTAAACTTTTTTTTAAACAAGCCCCTCTCCATGGCTGATCCCCGGCCGAGCACGGGCACCTGGGTCTCTTAAAGACAAGGAGGAGCCGAGGATTGTTGTTGTTGTCGGCCGTTTTTTTTTTTTTTTTTGGATTTTTTTTTTTTTTTTTACGAGAACCTTTTTTATTACAAAAATGGCAAATTCGACGGGTAAAAACCACGCAGACCAGCGGAGAAAGGGACTCGCTTTCCTGGACGAGCTGCGGCAGTTTCACCACAGCAGAGGGTGAGGAAAATGGGGAGATGGAACGGGAGGGGGGGAGGCTTTTAAATCGACCAGATCCAACTTCCAGCCCCTTCCCTGAAGGACACGGCAGCCCCAGTGAGGGGAGAAAAGGGGGCAGAGCTGACAAGTTGTGGTGTTTTGTGTGTATCTCCTTTGGCAGGTCTCCTTTTAAGAAGATCCCCGTGGTGGGTGGGAAGGAGCTGGATCTTCACGCTCTCTATACCAGAGTCACCACTTTAGGCGGATTTGGGAAGGTGAGTGGAAGTTTTAATTTGGGTTTCCCTCCCACTAACCTCTTCCCAAAAGTCTCCTCTGACCCCTGGGGGTGGCGGGGGGAGCCGAGGTGGCCGGGAACCGTCCTATTTAAAGCCGGTTAGAGAAGGTGGGGGGTGGAAGGAGGAAGCGAGCAGATAGGCAGGTTGGTGGCTCGGCCTTGTCGGCGGAGCGATGGAGGGGGACCCGGGGGTACGGCGCGCACCCCACTCCTGCCTCCTCCGCCTCCTCCGGACCCCCTCGGCCATGCCCCCCTCCCGCGGGAAGGCGAGGGGGGAAGCAGGGAGCTTGCTGGGCGGCGAGAGCAGGCTTCTTTCGGCTGTGGTGGCAGCTCTGTGCGTCTCTCTTGCAGAGGGAGAGACAGAGGAAAGAGTCTGAGTGCAGTTTTAGTGCAACTCAAAATTAGCGGGCATGTTTAACATCGATAATCGGCACGGAGCATGGGCTAGGGAACGATCCTCGCAGCCGGGGGGGGGCCGGGCGCTGCCCTCCGAGCCCTTCCCTGGGAAAAATAACAAAAGGGGCACCCAAGACGGTGTGTAATCAAATAGCCATCTTTAGGCTTCAAGGCTGGGGACAGAAATGTAGGCCTCAAAAGAAAGGCCTCTCTGTGTCTGTGGATCTGTGTTGGGGGGACCCCCTGGGCCCGCGCCCCCGCGCCCCGCAGCCCAGGGGGCGCCCCCCGCCAGCACTTCCCTGCATTATTTTAAACTTCTTTGGGTTTTTAACGGACCGCGTTAGGATTTAAAAGGGGGCGACAGAGGGACTCCCGATTGGTTATTGTCCAGGCAGTAAAAACAAAAACAAACAAACCCCAAAACAATACCACCACTCCCGGCCGTTCCCCCCGAAAAAAAATAATGTATATGTTAAAAAATAAATGCAGTAAAAGACCCCTGAGAAGCGGGATTATTCCCGAAAGGGGAATACTATCCAATGTCAGTAAAATATATAGTCCTAAATTCCATACACATTCATGTTTGTTTCTTTTTATATATTTATCTATTTGCTTCATGGCAGCCTGTTTTTTTTTTTGTGATGTTCGCTGTCAGCAACATGTTTACGTGTACGTTGTGTATCTCGGCTTGTGTGTTGTTTTTGACAGGTATCAGAGAAGAATCAGTGGGGAGAAATTGTAGAAGAGTTTAACTTTCCCAGAAGTTGTTCTAATGCTGCCTTCGCTTTAAAACAGTATTACTTGCGGTGAGTGCTATCAAGCTGTTGCAGTAGTATTTTTGAGTGCGGGGTTATATTTAGTTTTCAGTGTGTGCAATAATAAAAATATCCCTACTCTTTTAAAATGTTATAAAATAAAGCAGAAAAAAACCTTGTAATTCCTTTCTCATCTGGTGCAGTGATTAGTTAAAGGTGATTCTGTTTTGTACTTTTTTTTAATTTTACATCTGCAAGCCTTAAACTTTGAAGGAATACCAAGCACACAAACAATATATGTCAGAGGCCATTTTTTTGATTGTTTTAGAGTGACGGCACTAAAGGACTGTTACTAAGAGATCACATTATTGTAGTTACAGAAACTTAGGATAATATTTGGAGCACTGAAATGTGTTGATATATGTAAATTTGTTTACTGCTTAGTGGGGTCAGATGTTGAATCAAATGTATCTGCAGGAAGGTAGACTGTTGCACAAATTATAGTCTCAATTACTAGCAGCATATATTATTCTCTTTTATTTTAGAGTACAAGGAGCTAAATAATCTTTTTATTACTTGTAAAATAGTAAATTTCTGCAGGTTTTAAAAATAAGGTTGCATTCCTTGGAAATAATGCAGATTATTTTTTTGTAATAGAGGTTATTTTTCATTATTGCATGGAGCTCATATTCAATGTTTTAAATTACTATATATGGTACTATTCATTTACTAGATTACTTTAAAAAATAATTTTTATTTAGTTTGGGTGATAATTTTTTTGTAGGAAAGATTTTTAAATGATTGTGTATATAGTTGCTTTAGATGTGTATATATATGGATACTTATATTTTATTTAGAATTAAGTTAAATGTGTGTTGGTTAAGGAACGTAATTTCTGTTTCTGAATTATAAATACAATATT